TTACAGCTTCAGTGATGAGACTGAAGAATACACAACACTGACAACACCTGCCATGATGAAGATGATGAAGATGATGAGGATGATGATGGTGATGAAGATGATGAGGATGAGGATGAAGATGGTGATGATGGTGATGATGATGAGGATGATGAGGATGATGATGAAGATGGTGATTCTGGACATACACACAGTTGCCTTTACATTCCTTAATAGTTGTTAAACAAAATGTTATTAAAATAATGTTGATGGAACATTCCCATAACGTTATCGCTAGCTAGAAAATGTCTTAGTGTTGATAGAAAACATTATTAGGAGAATGTTCATAGGGGTGGAAGGAACGTTGCAGAAATGTTCCACATCAATGTTATGAGAAAACACTGTGTTTAGCTAGATTTAGGTGGATTAGTGTTGGTGACACAGTGGCTCAAGAAGATTGCTGGTTTGAGTCCCGGCTGGGTCAGTTGGTGTTTCTGTGTGGAGTTTGCTTGTTCTCCCCGTGTTGGCATGGGTTTCCTCCGAGTGCTCCGGTTTTAGCGTGTTCTGGGTCTCCGCTCTCCGTCCAGCAGGTGGCGGTGAAGCGCTGCTGACGGCCGCCCGTTTGAATAGAAGAAGAAGAAACAACAGCAGCAGCAGAAAAACAGAAGAAGAAGCGGCGTTAACGGAGCGATGGCGGCGTCCAAGGTGAAGCAGGACATGGCTCCGCCCGGGGGATACGGGCCGGTGGATTACAAGAGAAACCTGCCTAAGAGAGGCTTGTCCGGTACGAGCGATATAACACACACACACACACACACACACACACACACAGGCGCGCAGATATCTGACAATAACACACTGTTCCTGGAGTAACAACATCAGCTAAGAGCGTCCGGCAGCCTTCACATGCTGCTACACTCGATTACTGATCATATTTAATATCTCACTGCGTCATAATCCGCATTTCAGTCACACTGTTACCGATTCTGCAGCCGGGTCAGGGTTTGACCTGGTGGTCTGAATGTTAATGCTGTATGACTGTGTCTGTCTCCTCTAGACTCTGATCACACCGTCATCATCTCGTGTTTATACAGGTTTGAGCTTTTCCACACTAATGTCAATTTTACTATGATAAAAACATCAAGTTTCCTTTCCTGTGAGGTGTTTCGTGTGTGTTTGTGTTGAACAGTAGAGAAAAATACTCCAAGACCTCTCTGTTATTGATTCAAACTATTATATTTGATTTAGCAAGATCAGACAATCACACATCCACAACAGAGCTCCCCTCATTAATGGAAATAAATCTAATAACCTCTGTCATGTTTGTTCTGTAGTGAGCAGACATTATCCTTTAGATTAGCATCACTTCTGTCGGCTTATACAGATTCATTCACAGAATTTCTACAAAGTATCTACAGTGCATCAGGACAGCACTGACAGCGCTTCACTGTCTCCACATGTGTTTATGTTGCAGCCTTATCCTGAAACTGATTAACTTCATATATTTCCTCAACATTCTACACACAATCCCCCATAATGACCCTGTGGAAAAAGAGTTTTGGAAACTGTTGCAGATTTATTAAAGATATAAAGCTGATAAATCAGATGTACATCAGTGTTCTCAGGCTTTGCTCAAGACTCTGTTGATGCTCCTTTGGCAGTGATTACAGCCTCGAGTCTTTCTGAATATGATGCACGAGCTCTGCACAGCTGTCTCTGGGAATGTTTGCCCGTTCCTCTTTGCAGGACCTCTCAAGCTCTATCAGGCTGGATCTTCAGATCTCTCCAGAGATGCTCAATAGGGTTTAGGTCTGGGCTCTGGCTGGGCCACTCAGCGAGTTGTTGTGAAATGTTTCTGTCACCTTCCCCAGCCTTGTGCCTCCAGACAATCCTGTCTCTGAGCTCTACAGACAATTCCTTTGTCTTCATGCTTGGTTTGTGCTTTGACATGCACTGTCAACCCTGGGTCCTTATATAGACAGGTGTAGCCTGATCAGATCATGTCCATCAGCTGAATTGAGCACAGGTGAACTCCAGTGAAGCTGCTGAGACATCTCCAGAGTGATCAGTGGAGACAGAATGAACCTGAGCTCAGTTTAGAGGCTGTGAATACTGATGTACATCTGATTTATCAGCTTTTTATTCTTAATAAATCTGCAACAATTTCAGAAACTCTTGTTTCACATGGTCATTATGGGGGATTGTGTGTAGAATGTTGAGGAAATACATCAGTTTAATCCACTGTGGAATAACATAAACATGTGGAGAAACTGAAGCGCTGTCAATACTCTCCACATGCGCTGTAGATGCTGTTAACTCTGACTAACTTGTTTGGTCGCATCCATAATGCATCTTTATTTTCCTCAGTAAGTAAGTATACATGGGCTCGTCACAATATTTAATATCTGGACTTTTCTCACAGCGCATGGACATGAGCTCATTTTTATTGATGCAATATAGATCGGCCAAACATAAAGACCCATTCCAGCAACATTTCAGCTGATCTGGCCTGCTATTGGAGGTGTCGGTATTGGAGTATTTACTATAATTACTATAGTAGATCTTAAAAATAGAGCAGATATCACAGCCTCTGTTAGGATAAGCACTTTCACTTTCAGATTTTCACATCCTGATTAATAAATTGTGAAAAACTGTACAAAATCTGGCACATCACTTTAATCAGGTGCTCAGCCAAACCGCA